TATTCAAAATTTCACTTAAGAAAGATTACTTATTAGGATTAATTGACAATTACTTTAAAATATTAGACAACACTATATGAAAGTATCTATTTGGAGGAAGATAAGTAGCTGAACCACTATTACGATCCTGACGCTGACATCTTTGAAAAAGATAAGTGATTAAGGCGGGGAGAAGGAAATCAGACAATGTATAAGGATAAAATAACTATTTTCTCATTACTGCTATTTCTTCAGGATGCTATAAGGTTTTGTGTTCATGGGATAGCATCTATGTGAAGGAGATCTGCCTACTCATGCATAAAAGGTTATACAAACATAAAACGCACTGTAAAGAGTTGTAGTTCAAATAATTAGAACTGGCCGAACACAACCCACATATGGCATCAAGCGCTTGGCTGGGTATGGCGACTATATCAGTAAGCGGAATATTAGAGAATCTATAGAAATCAACAAAGTAGCCAACTCCTTGATTAGAAGAAATGAGTGTAGATAACTAAGCGGATACTACTTTTGGCTTTTGGATAGGACCAGAGGGAGAGAGAGAGAGGGAACAAGAAGTAGCCCCAACCAAGAGAAGACTTGATTAGCCTCAAATCTGGTTTTCATTTTCCCATTATACAAATCTAATGAGCATTGTATGCACACAACACAGGTGCATTGGAGCACAATCACATGTTGCAACATTGCAGGATCAAAAATATAGGCTATTTAGGGGATGATGCAGCTGTCAGTTTTCTGCTTCATCCTCGGCTACTTCACTTTTCAGCAAAAATGCAGAGAAAGAATGGGATATCCAACCAAATCATGAGATGTCTCGTTAAGTGAGCAAGGTTCGGCTATAAACAATAGGTAGGATTGCAGCCGGCCACCTTTCTTGTTTTCGAGCTTGTTGACTTATAGTAAAACATGGTGCTCTGTTCTGACGATCTCCGTCACATAAAAGGCGAAAGCTTATCAGGGATTCATTAGAATCGCGGGGTCGTGAGCCGAAGACTTATTCGCACAAATCGAATCACAACTCCGAGACGACTGAGATCAACATACGAACCCTTTAAACTCTCTTCCTCAAACATGCAAGTAGAATCACTTTACTACTTACCCTGAAGTGTAACTAATTATGTAAATGCTACCAGATCGCAGAAATTGCGTTCTCACGATCTAAAATAATTCATAAGGTGACTTGGGGATCTTATTGACCTTTATGCCAGTAATTCTAGTTTTAATAATTCTAATTATTTTCTCAAAAATTATGTTAGTTGATTCCATTAATCTAGCATTGAACTGTTTGTTTTAAGATTATGCCCTTATCTTATAACTTTCTTTTTATCCGTTTTCCGATCAGAAATTCTGCACTTTAAGGCTGATTCCGGTTGGTCCTTTGGCCAGCTTCACCAACAAAAGACTGATGGACCTCACTTAACACTCCTTGGGCAGGCCGCAACATTCGAGGTTGATGCCAATTCTACTTGTAATAGCCTCCCCATCACCTCTTCATCGCCGAGACCTGTCACCTCCGTTGCTAACAATGTATCATTACCCCCGCCCGATTCAACCTATTTGGCCGAATTTAAAAGCTCCGGGATGGAACCTGGTCTTGAAACTTCAGCGAGCATCATATCGATGACTACGAACCTCTCAGACCATGCTTTCACTCCTAAGCCTCCGGTTGACACAAATGTCTCAGTCTCAGGGTAAAATTGTTCCATATGCAGGACGTGGCTAGTATATTAACATAAATCAGAGCACACACAGCCAACAGTACTTATCGAGCCAATCATTTTAATGACCAGTTCAATACAACTTTGGCATTTTCAGCTAGTCCAAGTATTCTTCTCTTCCCTAGTAGGGGCGTTAGGATGACGGTGTCATAGAAGCTTAGTTTATCACTTTTTTCATAAAATGTCGGTTTATTTTATGAAACTGACAAAATTTATTTTCCTGCTTCACATATTTATTTTTGACTTAGTGCACCGATCATTTGAGATTCTATTTTCCCTAAATACTACCTATAATCTGATATTGGCCCATTTATCGCAGCTTACTTTTTTAAGCCTTCTGAATTCCACCTAGCTTTTTACTCCCACATATATTTTATTTTTTCTTTATTTACCTCTAAAATTTCTCTTTCCTTATCTAGAACTGGCTTATCTTCCTTCCTTTTACAATAAGTTTATAAGTCTTTAATCATGCTTGACCATAGAAATATGCTTACACTTCCTAAAGCCACATGTGAACCTGAATTTTCTATAGCACTTAACTATACTAGTATCATTTCCCCATCCCGTATCGGCATCATTTTTGAGCCTATGTTCTTTCTGAATTATCTTCTTAAATAATAATTTTTACAGTGGAACTCCGCTAATTTTTTATGGGAACATATTTATTTGTTTATTCGTTTTGCACAGAGAATTGATAATTTAAGGTTATCTCTATACTTTACTTCCATTTGTGTCAGAACCGTAGATATTATATTTTGTTATCATATTATTTCCATCTCACTATTCATCAATTATCACTTAATATATTACCAACATTTTAGGCAAAATGGGCGCCCTTCAGTTGGTGCACTTACTGGCCCTGTTCATTATGATGGCGAAGGCAAGCTAACTTTTAACTAAATTGTAACTAAAACCTACATGTAACGTTCAAGGAATAGATTCAACTGCCCTACTTTTTTGCCTTTGGTATCATTTTGGTAAACTAATTGGCATAGCTATATGAATCTGAAGGCTTAACATCTAAAATGCCGCTCTGCAGGATGTTTAGCTAAAAAAAATTCATTATGATATTGAGGATTCTGGATTTCTATGGTACTAATAGCCTAGGAAGGGTTGAACTTACTGTTAATACAAAGCCCATACATGAAATAATAGTCCCACCCTGTATCAGTCCACGATCGATCTCTGTGTATTTAAGTTGCAGGAAGTAAAAATATTCCAAATTGTTGGTTAAATACATGAATAACTATTCTGGCCTCATGGTAAGGAAAGTTTAGATAGTTTCCTACTTTCACTCGGCCAGACTGAAAGAAACATTAGGTTCACAATGTAAATGGAAGATAATAAGTCCTTATCTTTTTTGGATGTTCTCATCATTAGATAAGTGGTGTTTATAGGAATCCAACATATGTTGGCTCTTTGTATCATTTTC